AACCAATTACAGTTCGATGGTGTCCCAACTTTTATAGCCACTCACCTCTGCTTAAGCACTAGAGCAAGCTACTGAAGTTAAAGTCCAGCCACCAGATTCGTCTGCTTTGCCGCCGACCCCACGTCACGTGCCAATTTCAGGTGACGGTGACTCGAAATTAGCCCATAGTTAAGTAGTAGCGAATGTCAACATTTTTTCAGATGCTACATCTAACGAAGCTGGGTCTCACAAACAAATTACCAGGAGAAGGCCCCGGTAATTATCAATGCGAGCGTATTTAGGTTCGTAGAGCTGTTACTTACCATATGATCTATTTGGTAAAGAGGTACGGGTGGGAGGGATTGACATAGGGTGCTAATTTAAACCTGTTACAAAAGCACTGTTCGCATGTTGTCAACTCACAACTACTGCTCACATGTTGTCTTCACTTGTCAGCTGTCATCTCTATGTAGAATCTGTTACATTCCCAGCAGTAATAATCTATGACTAGTAGGAGGCTATCTGTCTCATAAATGGAGTTACCGTGGTCGAGCATTGCCGCTCTTGCCTCCTCGAAAGCTTCGAAAACACCAACCGTTGTGTACAGCCGATTAGGAGCCCCCTCTGAGGCAGATGAGGGAGGGTCTGTGTCCTGAGTAAGCTCGATTGACGGGTCCCAGTCAGAATCCGATGAGTCAGATCCGCTCCAGATAATCCCACTGAAAAGGTTGACAGTCATTTGCTGAGGTAAAATACCGTCAATTGATCCGTCCCTGTCGCACATAGTCACGACACAGTACGGTCGAGGTCGCTAAGCAATGGCCACAATCGATTATCCGCAAGCAGAGATGAAGTAGAAGTGAAGTTATAATTCAGGTCAAAACCACAAAGCTCGAGCAGACAACTCTTATCGCGACGCTAAATTTACTTCGTGTCCCAAAACTTATCGCGATTCTAAAACTAACCTATTAGAAACCTCGCATTCTAATCCTAATGTTTTTGTTATACGTTTGGCCACAGACTGCTTAATATTTTGCACTTTTGGCACTTCTTAGGTCCTCGAACTACTTCTCGCAGTGATTTGTGTGACTATGTGGCACCTGAGATGGCACGAGCATGGCTCCCGATAATGGCATTAATCGCATTTCAGTTTTAGAGTCGTCCATACATTATGCATTAGGCAAACACAAGAAGGGATACATACATTATGGCCTTCAATACAATTAATGGGCGCTTAACACATTCTAATCGATGCACTGGTGAATTGTTTCAGCATCCCAGTAGCTCTCGTTGACCCTAAGAAACAAAATCGTTTCCAGTACAATGGGTAGCAAGGAGGACCTGTCAATACCATAGGTCGCCCGAGCCACACTGAACACGCGTTCTGCAATATTGGATGTCGGAGGTATCGTAAGGATAAGTCTGTACGAGCTCTCCACGGACTCCAGGCGGGCCTTTTTCAGCATGGACTCAGCAAAACTCTCTTTATGTGAACCTTGCGGGATAACTTCGCTCACAGGCTCTTGGAGGAAAGGCTGGACAGCCTTCATCTCTTGACAGCTCATGAGATGCTGCTTGTAACGCTGGATTATGACACAAGCCGACTCGAAATCTTGGTTACTCACGATAGATCCGCTTGCACCTCCGCAGTTATCCTAGTTAGTAGAAATAATTGGTGGACAGTTTAATGCTAAACGAACCAAGGTATCGCTTCAAGGCGGGCATTTCTGTGAGTAATGCGTCGAACAAGACTCGAGCCTCCCATAGCATCACATCATCAGACCGAAGCCTCATAGACATCGACTGACAACGCTCCAGCGTTGCCAGCAACACCTTCAGCTTCTTGTTTTCAGCAGCTGAGGGGACAAATTCGGCAAGGCTCTCATCTTCACGGTCGACGATTTCGAGTAGCTTGAAATAGCGGTGCATTATCTTGAAGGTAGATCCCCATCTGGTGTCTTGGCGGCGTACTGGACGGAGTTTTGTCTTGAATCTATGGCAAAAACATTTTTTAATGATAAATAAAAACTTTTTTTTTAAAAGGTTTACCGTAACTTGGCCGATTGATTCAGAGTACAAAGCCTGACCATCAGTGTTTTGGATGTTGGCAAGCACACTTTCCGAGCTTGCTGTCACAAGTGACACCGCGAGGTTCAGCCGGTGACTCACACATCCGATCAGCGGCACGTCCAGTAGACGGGCAAGGTGCTTATTCAGAGGGCAGTTGTCACTAACAAAAAAAGCACCTGCTTAATGTCCTTACCAAAGACGCGTAGTATGAGGACCATGGCTTCCCGATGTGATTTAGCATTGTGCTGTATCACGGCGTCATTAGCACCGTCCTCTGGTGGCTCCAGGACGGGTGCCATGGCAAGTAGCGGTCGACAGGGTACTCCGTCAATATCGTAGCACGCAAAGACGGCTATAAAATGCTCAGAATCGTGCGTCCATCCGTCGAATATGATGCCAAAGAACTTTGGTATCTCCGCCGCTATGTTCCCTTCAACGGCAATGGTCACTTTGAGCATGTCACTCGTTAGCGTTTCAGAGCAAATGTCCGATAACTTTGTGTATCTATATAAATAAAATACAGCAGCATACAAAAATTTAGCACCAAATTGCATTTTTTCAGTTGCATTTATTAAGTTACCGCCTTGTCCTCTTTTGCTCGCAGAAAGAGACAGGCAGGTTGCCGAAGATGGTCCACTCAAGCCATCCAAATCGATTTTGCGCTTTCGTGCTGATCCACGGCAAGAGTGACTCCGTCCTTCCTGGCCCAGCTGCCAGCATTTCTACCTCAAATCTGGGGTGCTTAAGTCGTTTGTGCTGATTCACGTTTGTAGTGCACTTGGTTGTTTGTGGAGTGTAGCACACACTTTGCACTTGTAGTAGTCAGTTGCCTCTCCATTGCTGTCCAGACACGGCGAAAAGTAGAAGAAAAAAAACAATATGCTTGAGCGAAAAGTGAGGTGCGGGGGGCGGGCCTGTAAGGGCGACTGCCATGGCTGGAAAATATGAAACTGAGACTTCGGATTGAAGGATTAACGGCAAAACGGTTGGACGAGGGAAGAAAGAGACTTGAAGCTATTCGTGTGCCGATTTGGTAAATATAACCCTTATTTTATACGCATTAATAATGCTTTAGTAAAACGTTTTGTCATACATTATGCATGGCCAAAATCACAGTAGCTCCCATACATAATGGGGCCTACTTAATGTACATTAATGAATGTCATTATGCATTATATGGAGGCCCTGGGCACGAGGAACTCAAACAACCCACCAATTGAGACAGTAACAAGTGTGCAGCATAGATCCGCTACCAGGTTTTTAGCGTTGACTATCTGTCACAATGTAACAGCTCAGCAGGGTCACTAACAGGTGAGTAGTATCTGTAGGAAGTCAACAGGTGATCAGTGCTAGGTGACAGGAATTAATAATTTTCCATTGACATGGGAGCCGCCACACCACTTTCCAGCACAGATGATTGCTGATTCGAGAGAATAATCTCGAGAAACCTGGCCAAGCTGCGTTAGAATTCCATGTTAGAAAAAAAAGACGCCCGCATTGGTACTTGTACAAGCTGGAACTCCTGATACGAGCTCAGGGCGATGGAGACCTCAACAAAACCGACTCGTAGATGATAGCACCTGGCGACAACATCGGTAGTCTGATGACGCAGTAAGTTTAATCTGAAAGAAGTAGTCGGAAATCAACTCACACTTTTGAAAACGTCAAATACAAAGCACATTGTTTTCAAGGTTATCAGCATTTCAGGTGGCCGTTCGAGAGACAGAACGACGTGGAGGATCGGAGAAAAGTAGATGGAAGAAGAAAAGCAAACTTCGACCGATTCACGTGCAGTCATGCTCTCAGGTCTCTTACGGATGGCAATTTCGTCTTCCCTCATTGGACGAGATTCGCATGGCTCAGCAGCAACACCACGCGCGCGTTGGATCATCACAAACCCCAACTACGTCCTGCGGACTGACCAGAAGATATGAATCTCCAGAGCTTGCACAGCGTCTCTCGTCGCAGACGACACGAAAAGGCTTCGAGTCATCCGGGAGGGCGAGGATTGGGGCCTCAGCGAGATTCCTCTTCACCGAGTCGAAGGCGACTTGATGTGTGGAAGTCTACGACCACGGCACACCTTTCTTCATCAACGAAGAAAGCGGCCAGATCAATCCGGCGTAATTCGTCCTGTACTTGTGGAGATAATTTGCGAGACCCAACCACTGACGCAATTTAGTGGGATTCTGTGGCGTAGACCACGCACATGACGCGAGCGATTCCGCCGACGGCTGTGCGCTGATGCAATTTGATGATGAAGGCCGCGAGCGCGTCGTAAACTACCAGTCCAGACAGATGAAGCCGGCGGAGCGCAACTACCCTGTCCACGACAAGGAGCTCCTCGCGATGCGCTACGCTCTGATCACGTTCAGTGTGTACTTGTTGGGTATGAATACCTTCGCAGTGTACACCGACCATGCCTCGCTGAGGACAGCGATGAAGGGTTCTCACCTCTCCCAGCGGATGGCCCTCTGGCTTTCATTGTTCTCTGAGTCAACTTCGTGGTCCATTACAAGTCCGGCAAGAACAACATTCTCGCCGACGCTTTGTGACCGTTATCACATACCGCCCAGTCATCTAGACAACATTTCTGCCCACGCGTTCGCCACACTATCAACGTGCTCGATACATAAACTATAGGGCATCAGTTTGAGTGCCCATTGAAGTAGCTTGCCTCTAATGTGCTTCTTTACACCCCGCACAAACAATTTAAAAAGTGGAAAGCTCTTAGCTTTTGGTCCTAATTTTAGTCCTAGCTTATTTCTATTTCTAACGCTAGTAGTTAATGTAGATGGATTAAAACCTGGGTCAAATACATGAACTCTGGCACCAACTTCCAAATTTACGTGGTCCACACCTGCCGTGTGCGCTACAATCTAATCCCCCCTCTGTGCCGAGCCAAAAGAGAAGCGAAAGCGTGGGGAAACCCCAGCGTGCTACTTGCAGCCATGGATGCCAATCAACTGCGCGAGCTGGAGACACTGTGCCGCGTGCTTTACGAGAGCGGCAACGAGGTGGAGCGTGCGCACGCGCAACAGGCTGTGCTTATCCTGCAGAGCTCAGCCGAGTACATTCCACAGTGTCAGTATGTGCTGGACAATTCGTCGTCCCCTTACGCGCTTCTCGTAGCCAGCACCAGCCTCACCAAGCTCATCACCTCGCACTGGAACAACTTTACCACACCACAGCGCGTTGATATCCGTATGCAAGCACTTGATGCCATGACCCCCAATTTTGCATCACTTCAACACTAACGTATTATTGTTTCTACCGCGACTAGGTAATTATGTGCTGGGCTACTTGGCCCAGAAGGGGCCAACACTGGAGAAATTCGTGACGACATCGCTTATCCAGATGGTGTGTCGCCTCACTAAGTATGGGTGGTTCGACGATGAGCAGCACCGCGAGATCGTGGCCGAGGTGACCAAGTTTCTGCAGGCTACAGTGGACCACTGCGTTATTGGTCTGCAGATCTTGAGTGAACTCGTCACAGAGATGGATTTACCCGTGGCAGGACGTAACATCACATTCCACCGCAAGATCGCTGTGTCTTTTCGAGAGGATTCGCTCTTCCGGATCTTCCAGGTGGCACTTACCTCCATTAAGCAGCTCCAGATGCACAATATTCGAGGCGCCACGCCGCAACAGGAAGCCAGGATGGGTGACCAGGCGCTGTCGCTGCTCATCAAGTGTCTGTCCTTCGACTTTATTGGCACCAACCCGGACGAATCGTCCGAAGAGACAGGCTCACTCCAGGTACCCACTTCGTGGCGCTCGGTTATCCAAGATCCGGACACGTTGCAGCTGCTTTTTGATTTCTACAAGACGACCAGCCCGCCCAACACGTCCAAGTGTCTCGAAGCGCTCATGCTGTTTGCATCCGTGCGTCGAAACCTCTTTT